GCATTTGTTGCATCCAGTGGGGACATAATTATGGATTATAATGACTTATACTGTCTTTTTACACGTTGCATATCGCGCCACGTAAACATAAAACCATGTCTGCATTTGTGATCGGACAAACGACAAACTACACTGCTCAAAACTCGCGTTTGAATCGTGAGTGGCAAATTCTTTAAATATGAAAACATACTTACAGGCTGTGAGTCAGAACAGACTACATTGTAGTCTACTCTTACAGGTTCAGGAAAAAGTCCTCCGTAAAATGCGTTGCACACATTCAAATATTTGGGTTGAACTGTTCTGGAACAGTGTTGTAAATACAACTTAACCACTGATTTCTAGTTGTGTCCTCCTATTTCCTAAGAATGTGTCGATTAATGTAGACTGACGTCGTTCTAATTACTTCGTTTAATAATAAAGAATGTAGTGTAGCACACAGACTTTATAATCATTGTGAAATTGCCGTTTTTTTTGCTGCACCGGCAGTTATAGGGTTAATGCGGGAGAGACGAGCGAGTTAGTTAGGCTGGTTAAATCTTCCCACACAGTGATGTAGACATTTGGGGGCGTGTTTAAACGAGGTGTTTTAGGAGGGCGTGGATGAGTCTTAACTATAGCAGTTTTTCAGAAATCTTTTTGCAATTCTGGTTGGTGGCACAAAAATAAATAAATAAAAAATAAATAAAATTACACTCTTTACTTTTAAAATTGTAGCTAAAGATCTAACAACCCAAGTTGAGGTAACTATTGCCCCACTGAGTTCAGAAGTATATTACCACCACTGCAACACAAAACACTGTGCACAATGTGCAAAGACTAATTCTCCTGAAAAGTTTTTATATCTGCAATCGACAACAACAATGCATATTTGCAATGTTCCTCTTACAGTTAAGTTGCAGGACACATCAAAGAGCCATGTCCTTATCTCACATCAAACCTATTATTAACAAAATCTCATGTGCCAGCATCAAATGAAAGGATGATATACCTAAATTAATTAAAAATGACAGGCGGGTGGCAGGCGTCTAGAAGCTGGCAGCCAGCGCTCAGGTGAGGGAGATTCTTGTTTAATCACTTTAAGCCTCTCCAGGTTCTCAGGAATGGATGAGGGTGTAGTATGGCATGAAAACACTTACCTGGCACTGACTCAAACAGGTGTTTGGAAATGGAAACTTGTCTGTCTACATTTATTCTTTAAAGGGGACGTTTCTGGGTGTGTTGCCGGGCACACGAGGACAAATTAGCTTATGGGGTGCAAGTCGGGCACTGAGTGGCCTTCCATTCCCCAAAGGTTCTCTGGGAAGCCTAATCCTATAAAGCGGCTTTATTTGCCCGCCACTGGCCTGTTATTATGTCTTGGTCTGTTATTAATGATATACTACGCAGAATCAAAGCCATGGAAAGAGGAGCAAAGGAAACCTTTTCTTTTTCCTTCCCCACGAGTTTTAAAAATACGCTCATGGAGCAGTCCAATTTTGAAAAACCGTCTCCGTTTACATATCTACAGCACCATTAGCTAATAAAAATCAAGCAAATTTGTGACTGTGTTTCTAACGAATTATGACACTGAAATTTAATGCTATGATTTGGTTAATATGACTGACAGACCATTACAGAAAAATTATAATTTCAGAAAATAGCCCTCCCAAAATGAAACCCCACTCGTTACTTTTTCTTCATCTGTGATTTTCATGAATCTGATTAAACTGTCATCCAACACAGGAGTAAATTCACAAAATTTACAGTACTTTTATGCACATTTCAGTGCAAAAACCTGCATGTTTTTCCACTAACCATCCGCAAATACAGTTAAACCAAATGCTAAATTGAAATAAATAAAAATTATGTATATTTTTTAAAATACAAAAACTAATAAAAATGAGAAAAGCACATAAAATTACTAAAAATTAAACAATAAAAATATAAAAATTAAAGCTCATTAAAAACAATTAAATATTAAAACCATAATAGCATATAAATACAAAAATAACACTGAATGCAACAAGTTTTTTGCATTATGCCATGTGTCAAGAGCTGCTATAGAAGAATTTAGCATAATTTGTTATCATTTATAGTTAGTTTTCTCTTTCAGGTCTTCTACTGTTATGGCAAAGCAGCCATTAAAAAAAAAACAAGTTGGTTAAAGTGTGTATTTTTTTCAACGCTTTAAAATGAATGCCATTTTTCTGGAAACCTGTCTGAAAACAGTTATTATTTTTGCAGTTTTGCTTGGTGGCACATACACGTGGTGCAGTTAAAATAGTGCTGCACCATGAGTATTTAAATTAAGTTATTGTGATTCTTTTCAGCACAAACATGCTTATTTTTATGCAAATTAGATTCAAATTCAGCTTGTTCACCAAATTCAGTGCCATTTGTCTGATGAAATTTGGTAATTTAGTTTTTAGGAGACATTTAAAAAAAAAATTTGATTTAAGATTTAATTAAAAAAAAAATTTAATATCTCTTAAAATATTTATATTTTTAAGTAGCAAATTTCAAATATCTTTCAAAAGCTGTATAAACAAAGTTGCATTATTCACACAAATCCCCATCCTTCTAAATGTGCAAATCATCATAAAACACGTGCCCACCCCGCTGCCCACTGCAGTGTCGGACGCGAGGGGTAGGGGGCGCACCTGCTGTAGGGCTGAGGCTGGAGGTTACCTGGGAGGCGTCTGGGCACATCGCTGATGGACGGCAGCCCTGTGGCCCGGCTGGATGAGAGTGGGGTGGTGGAGTGCACGGACGGGGAGGCCATGGGACTCAGGTACGATGGGTACGTCTGGTCATATGACCAAGGTGGGGAAGATTGAGCCTGGCGTGGATCTAAAGGTACAAATAGAGAGAAGGTCAAAGAAAAGTAGTTACAGGGATAGTCCACCCAGAAATGAAACCTCTGTCATCATTTACTTACATGTTGGTTCAAACCTGTATGATTTTCTTTCTTCTGTGGAACACAAAATTAGAAATTTCAAGAATATTGGCAGCTAAACAGTTTCGGTTCCCATTAAATTCCATTGTTTGGACAAAAATGCAATAGAATCAATATGTTTATTTATTTATTTATAGGTTTTAGTGTATATATAAATATATATATACAGTATATACACATTACTATGTATATGTTAATTAATCAGTATATATTATCATTAATTTAATTCAACTGCTCTATTTATATTTGTCTGTCTCATATAGAGCCTTTGTGTGGTTAGCAAATACAATGTGATCCCTTAGGCAAAGCATTTAAATGAAGGCATTCTCAAATGTTTGTCTAAGATAACATATTTCATGCCTTATAATTCAAGCTTTCTGTCATGCCAAGTATCAATTTTAAAGCAGGCAAATAATCGCTAAAGTCAACAAAATACGGTGCATTCATTCTCAGATTCAGTCACTTGGCTTGCACACAGTACAGTAACAGGACCCAGAGTACAGGACATGCGCTCTCAGAGCAGTAATTAAGGACAGGTGATATCCTGTTCTCTCACAGTGACACAACGCACTGCCTTAGGCTGTCCGCACTCGGTTTCCACTTGTCCATCATGCTGCAGTGTGCGATTTCAGCTTAGATAAACCACTTTGTGCTTAGACGAATAGACATTACTGTAACGGTGACAGACACCAGATATGCTGAAATGCTTGGGAGGATGAGTAAATATAATCACTGTAAGTGAAGACTTGACTAAAAGAAACAACAATTCTGACTGACAGGTTAGCGGCGACTTTAAGTATCACTTACTTCATTGATGTGGTTTTACGTGCAGATGATATCAATAAAACATTTGTAAATTAACATTGCCTGCGTATTTGATGGATTACAAGGAACTTTTTAAACATTTTAAAAATAGCAGTCAAAATAATATATGTGTGTGTGTGTGTGTGTGTGTGTGTGTGTATCTATCTAGAAATAATTTTTTTACCTTTTTACCCGAAATCAATCAATATTAAATAATAGTAAATGATTAAATAAATATACCCTCTATGAGAATGCAACAACTGATATAAATGTATATACGTTGAAACTGCTTTGGATAAAAATGTGTGCCAAATGCATAAATGTAAATAATTAAATATTACATCCATCCATCCATTCTCCAAACCGCTTGTCCTCATGGGGATGCTGAAGCCTATACTATAAAAAATATTTCATATACATTTGATCATTTTTGTGCATTTTATATATACAGTATATATATATATATATACATATATATAAATAACAAAAATATTAAATATCTATCTATCTATCTATCTATCTTTGAAATCATCAGGATGCACCTCTCAGAATGGAATAGAATAGAATCTGCAGTGCTGTTCAATCTCATACCTGTTATCTGCGTCTGCCCCTGAGGTGTGAAGGAGTTGGGGCTGCTAAGTGAGGGCCGTGGCGTTTGTGTTGGCATGGTAACCCGCATGGTGGTCTGCCGGATACGCTCCAGTTCACTGAGACGGTCAGAGAACAGTCCGGCCTTCGGTGAGTCATCCAGCTTCGGCCTGTGCCCTGCAAACAACAAACTGCCTTTAATTAAAAAAAATTCTAAAATTAAAGAATGTACACGTTCGTTGTTGGGCATAACTTGTATTTACATGTTTCTAACATGACACACCACAAATGTGTCACATATCACAGCAATATGACTTGCACTTCTACTACTCAGGGGCTGCACGTAAAAACAACCAACATGTAGTCCGATTCTCGAACAAATGATTCTTATGAGCCAGTTCTTTTGAATCATTCAAAAAGACTCAAATTAAAAATAAAAAAGCAAATACTGGACTGAGGTAATTTGAGAAATTAATTACTGCATTTGCACGCTAAATGTATTCACAACAATGATTTTAATGTAATTATGTAAGTGTTAAATATTTCAGGTATTAAAAGAATGATGTGATGTTTGGTTATTATTATTATTAATTAACAGTTTATCAAGTGAAAGAAATTACATGAAATCCAAATTGTTTTCTAATTCACTATATAGTAAGCAATTATATAATTTTTTTTAATCAATGTGAAAAGGGTCAAGTGACACCATCTAGCATCTTAAACATACAGTAAATGCATAAATTATATATATATATATATATATATGATATTATATAACTATATATATATAAAATATTGTTATATAATAATATAATTCCGCCCCACATAATTTACTCTAAAAATGTTTTAGTGGGTCTTGAAATTGATTGTATCTCCTAGCATGAAAATGTTAGCCAGTCTATGATGTGTATGTACTGTATGGCATAGGTTTGACTATGAGACAGGTGTTCCATTTCCCCTCTTTATAAGAGCTTTCATTATGCCCCATGGCATTTAAGTCTTTCAAGCCACAATCTACCGTGACTCTGCCATATGGAATCAAACTGAATCTAATTTCATTTCCATAAAAAAAGTTTCAAATATTACATATTCCATCTCCTTAAAATATCTATTAATCTGTCCCATCAGGGTGGGGATTTGGCTTTGACAATGAAGTGCTATGCTTGGCATATAATAAAATTTTGTTGGCACACATGAACACTCAACCTTCCCAGACAAGACGAAACTCATATAATACAAGACCGCATGTGCCTCCTCTGAGCACAATGCATGATGATGACACTGTCCAGCACCTTTCTGGAAAGCTATAACAAGAGCATTTAAGAGTCCATCGCCTCAAGTCTATTCTCTGCAAATTAGAGAGGGATAAGACAGCAGCGCGGCCCAATACACAACTAGCCCCTTTTTCCACATTAAAACGGCTCAGTGGTTCCCTCAGACTGCAGCAGTTTTTTGGAGAAGGCCGTAAAGTAAATATCAAACAGGAGAAAGAGAAAAACTCCTGCTGGAGTTGGCAGTGATCCAGTTGGCACTGACAGAACACGTTGCCTCTATATCTTGACTAACCAGCCTGTGCCAGAAGAACAAAGAGAAGCTGCAAACACTCAGTAAAGTTTCATAATTAAATCGTTAAAGTACTTTAGAATGTCTAGAATATAAACTACTGTATAAATCAGTATTAAAGGTGAAGTGTCATTTTTATTATCTTAATATGTAAAGATAGCTATAAGTAATTCATAGGTGCTGCTAGACTGTATTTAGAGGAGCAATCTTTCATCTCAGCACTCCATCCCCCCAAAAAAATCAGAGCTTAACTGTCAGCACCTATACAAATCTGTGATTATGTGATTTCTCTTAGTTCAGTGTCTGCAGTGAGTTATCTGAGGTTATTTCACTCTAAATTATCCACTTACAAGGGCATTTTTGGTGGGCGAGACTATCTGTGCAGCAAAAAAAAAAACAAAAAACTTCTTAGTCGTACTTTTTCTTACTTAGTATTTTATTTAAACATTCAAGATGCATTTACTTAAGTATCCTGAGAAGTTTCATGAATTACTTAAATATCCTGAAAAGTTTCCAGAATGTATTATTAAAACAAGCAAAAAAATGTCAAGGGGGTAAGAAAAATAACCTTGTTTTCCCGCTGAATTAACTTTATGTACTCAACTGACAGATCTTTTTTTGTTGTTGTTGTTTATGTATAAACTCACTTGATTTTGATGGATTTTCACAAAACAGGTTTTCACTTCACACGATGTTAATTGATGGACTGGAGTGGTGTGGATTATTGTGATGTTTTTATCAGCTCTTTGGACTCTCATTCTGACGGCACCCATTCACTGCAGAGCATCCACTGGTGAGCAAGTGATGGAATGCTAAATTTCTGATGAAGAAACAAACTCATCTACATGAGTTTGTACTGGATTTGTACTGGAAAACTGGATGCCGGCAGCCATATCACCCTGTAGCCCAAGACTGGTTGCCCACTGAAGCTAAGCAGGGCTGAGCCTGGTCAGTACCTGGATGGGAGACCTCCTGGGAAAACTAGGTTGCTGCTGGAAGAGGTGTTAGTGAGGCCAGCAGTGGGTGCTCACCCTGTAGTCTGTGTGGGTCCTAATGCCCCAGTATAGTGACAGGGACACTATACTGTCAACAAGCACTGTCCTTCGGATGAGACGTTAAACCGAGGTCCTGACTCTCTGTGGTCATTAAAAATCCCAGGATGTCTTTCGAAAAGAGTAGAGGTGTGACCTTGGCATCCTGGCCAAATTTGCCCATTGGCCTCTGATCATCATGCCCTCCTAACAATCCCCATATCTGCTGATTGGCTTCATAACTCTGTCTCCTCTCCACCAATAAGCTGGTGTGTGGTGGGCATTCTGGCACACTTTGGCAGTCGTCGCATCATCCAGGAGGATGCTACACACTGGTGGTGGATGAGGAGATGACCCCTGACAATGTAAAGCGCTTTGAGTGCCTAGAAAAGCGCTATATAAAAATGTAATGAATTATTATTATTATTATTACATCTTGGATGGCCTGAGGTTGAGTAAATTTTCAGCAAATTTTCATTTTTGGGTGAATTATTCCTGTAATATCTTAAGTCACTTTGCTTTTCAAATACATATATATAAATGTAAGAACATTTAGATATTTGTACTGGAAAACAAGACAAAAATACTGAGTAAGAATATATTCTTTTCCAGTGTATTTTACCAACCTATGTCAGAAAAGGTGTTTGAGAAAGCTTTTTAAAAACATCCATTCATTATTTCCATTTGGTGCCCCAAATCGTTCAGAAATTACACACTCCATCCTTAATATCATGCATGTCTTCTGTAGAAGCATGAGAAATTAAAATAATACAGTATTTCATCACAATGAAAACATTACAGCTAATGGAAAAATCATTAGTTTGACTCTGAGTGTAACTTCGGGACATTGTTGCATTGCACTCCGCCTTTGAACTTGCGAGCAATGTGACACATATGTAAAAGCTAAAAGCTAGCATTACTCAACCTCCAAGGAAGAGCAGAACTTGAGCAAACCATACCTTTTCACACAAAGCCAATATGTCTACTATAAAAAGCCAAACTATATTTTTTGTGACAAGCTGAATCCAGACAGCGATTCTAACATAAATCCTGTTGGGGAAATAAAACAGACAAAGATGTGCTTTGTGCGGCTTAATTTCACAGAGATTCATATGAAACATAGTGTTCTGTGCTCAGAGAGACAGTGGACTCTGATCTCCGGTAAATTTAGAGTCTTCAATGTGCATCCCTACTGATCCAGCCTCCCTAAAAACAGATTTGCAAGGAGTGATATTTACATTTTTCTGGGAGTTGAGAATCAGAGCAGAAGTTACAATAAGACCACATACAACTAATAGGAATTCCAGAGATGAATTTGCAAAACAATGGGAATTTTCAGCAAGAGTTCTGGAATGTTAAGTGGCTTGTTTTTGATTCTGTCTGTGAGGAATATGTAGCCACCTCGGTTTGGATAATGTATCCGGTTATATTTACTCACCAAAGAAGTATCTCTTGGGGGTGAGGGCAGCCAAGTGGTTAACAATCTGGGCTGCTAAGGTTTTAGGTTCAATCCCAACAGTGTGGATAAAATATAAAACCAGGAACGAGTGTTAGAAAGATCACAAGCACCTTTGTACTGTTCTGTTGAGCTCGACAGGTTGCCTCAGGGCAGCTGTCACTGGTCCTCTGAAGAACCTCTGATCAAATATAGTTAATAACTAAATAATGGTCTCTCCCACACATGCACGTGAAAAGCTGACAATTATGAATCTTTTTGTATGCTTCTGAGAAAAAGTTGTTGGCTGGAGCTGTGGCTTAGTGGTTTTGTGTCTGATTTGCAACATTTCTTGCTTTTGTTTCTTCCACTTCTTCCCCGCGATTCCTGTCTACTCTCTATTTTTCAATCAAAGCTGGGGAAAACACAGAAAAGGCTAAAATAAAAAAAACTAAATGAAACACAAACATGTTTGAGACATTAATAGTTATGCATGTTGGAAAGCTATGACAATTATAGACAGACAGACAGACAGACAGATAGACAGACAGATAGATAGATAGATAATCTACACAAGCAATACAGAATATAAATGCAAATGCACAGAATTATTATTTTTTTTGCTTCTTGTTCAATTTACTTAATTACAATACCAAAGCAACACAATTGCTACACATTCGGTTCTAACTTTTTTGTGTTGGGACTACATGAATATTTGTTGCATTAACTGAAACTGGGGATTGGATTTTTAGTTTGGAATCTACTTAATATAAATGTGCTCATATAACAAAAAAAAACATTGACTAAGTTCAAAACTAAAATTTATGTTTAAAGATTAAGATCAGTTAGATATTTTGAAGAATGTGGGCATCCAAACAGTTGATGGTCCCTATTGACTATAGTGTGGAAAGATTCAAGAACACTACAAGTCAGTGAGGACCATTAACTGTTTGGTTACCCAGATTCTTCAAAATACCCTTTTTGTGTTCAGCAGAAAAAATAAAGTCAAGGTTTGGAACAACTTGAGGGTGAGTAAATAGTGAAAGAAATTTTCATTTTTGGGTGAACTATCCTATTAAAAAGTTTTAGTTAAATCAAATATTTTTTCCCAGTGTGGTTTAGCATTCACTTACAGATTCATTAACTTA